CGGGGACAAGATTGGGGTTGTGGACATTGCATTTGGGAGCATGTTGGGATCGGCGAGAGCCATTCAAGTGAGGGTTGGAGTGAAGCTTCTTGATGAGGAGAAGACGCCTGGTTTGGTGAAATGGGCTGAAAAATTCTCTGCCGATCCGGCTGTTAAGGATGTCCTTCCTGAAACTGAGAAGCTCGTCGAGTTTGCCAAGCTCCTCAGTGCCAAATTCAAAGCTGCAGCAGCCTCCGATCCTCTTAGAAGATAGATATGTATTTTGGGCGATTTGTTGTCTTGTGGGTCTGGATTTTTTTTAGCGTTATGTTGTTGTGGTAGTTTCATGTTGAGTTGAGAGGTATTCCTTTATGCTTTACTCTGTTTTGGTCATTGATTTGAGGATGGAAATGAGTCTACTGTTATAGTTTCTAGTAGGGCTGGCATTTCGGTTTGCGGTTAGCGGGTAACCGCCGGTTTTGACCGAAAACCGCCGGTTACCAACTAACCGAAAACCGACCGGTTACCTTGACGGTCGGTGGTCGGATGGGAAAAGGAAGGGGTCGGTTGACCGAGTAACCGATGCTGATTAGCCGCGGTTATCCGACTAACCGGGCCAACCGAGACCCACTTCACCTTCCCCAAAATATGTCCAGATTCATCCCATTCCCAAATCTTAAATAAATAAAAAATCCCAAATACAGGAAGAAGAAGAAGAAGCAGCAGATCTCGACCAAAAAAAAAAAAAAAAGAAGAAGCAGCAGCAGATCTACACTCGCTGCCGATTCTTGTTTCCGCCGCCATCCTCTTCTCCACAACCTCCGACTCCCCAGCGGAATCCACCACTCCTTGCAGCCTCTCCCTTCTCGCGCAGCCTCCACCCACGAGCAGGCAGCAGCTTCGCCGGCGGTGACCTCTTCTTCTCCTCTCACCCGCGAACAAAACCCAAAAGAAATAACACAGATCGAAAACAAAAACCAAAATCAAACCCTCAAAATTCGACATGCAAGTGAGAGAACTTGATCTCACCTTCTACCGTCGCCTACCGTTCGTCATCGTAATCACCGCCGCAGCTTCATCCGTCGCCACCGCCGCAGCTTCATCCGTTGCCGCCGCCGCCTCATCCGTCGCCGCCGCTTCTGGGTAAGACGAGGGAGAGCGAGAAAGAGCAGAGAGAGGCCGAGTTCCTCTGGAAAGGAAGAAGAAGAAGAGAGAGAGAGAGTAGGGAGGAGGCGGGTTTCTCTGGAAAGGACAGATCGAGAAATGGAGTAGGAGGCGCGGGGAGAAGCAGATCGTGAGAGAGAGAGACGAAAGTGAGAAGGGGATTCGTATTTAGGATTAGATTTTTGTTCAATTGTCGAAGTTGGGAGGCTGGAGGTCGATTTTTGAGAGAAGAAGAACAAGAGTGGAGGCGATTTGAGAGAGGGAGAGAGCTAGGTTTTGTTTCGTTTTTCTTCTTTTCGTTTTTGCTTTTCTGGTTCGTGTTTTCCTGGAGAAGAAGATGAGAGGACGAGAGAGAGTGAGGAAGAAGAAGAAGAGAGAGAGAGTAGGGAGAGAGGCGGATTTCTCTAGAAAGTGGAAAGGAAAGAAGAATCGAGAAGTGAGATGGGGTTAGGAGTGAGTGGTGCATAATTTTTTTTTTTTGAAAAGGTTGGTTTCCGGTTGGCCGGCTAACCGAGCCTAAAACCGAAACCGACCGATCGATTGGCCGGCTAACCGTGACCAGTCTCACGGTCGGTGGTCGGTAGCTAGGAGGGATGGTTCGGTTTAACCGATAACCGGGTTTTCGGTTAAACCGAAACCGACCGACTGCCACCACTAGTTTCTAGTCTTACTATGAGGAATTACAGCATTTTTTTGTGTTATTGTCTATGCGCTTTGTGGTGTTGTATATGTATACGGATTAATTATTTTCGGAATGAAATTGCAAATTGTTGCAACTTGCAAACAGATATTTTAGTCAAACTGTCAAATCGTTGTTTAACTATCATGCAGTTGGGAAGTTAAGGTGCACGTCGAGTCACCGTCTTTCCATATCATATATGGAATGAAGGTGCTACCACAAACTGTGGAAAAATATCTTCACAACTTGAATGGTGATAATTTACGGCAATTCTGTGGTGCCATACCGGCACCAGTGCCGTCACATATATATGCCCGGTTTAATCAGTATATTGTGGTTCGGCTAGATGGTTGGTTTGTAATTATTGGGTTGGGTGAAATTAACTGATAAAACTATAAATTAAAGAAATAAAAAAAAAGTCCAAAGAAAAGGAAGGCTACGGGTTCTGCTTCTCTTTCACTCCTTTTCTTTTTTGGGATCGTCGAACTCCTCCGTCCAATCGCACCAGCAACCAGCAATCCACCATCATCATCGCCTGTTTCCGTCGGTTGACCATCGCCACTAAGAACCCTCAATCCTCGTTGGTAGAAATTGTTTCCGGAAAGTCCCAACAGAAATAACCATCTTCATCGGCCCCGATGTCGCCGCCGGGTCATCGCCTCGCCTCGTCTCTGCCGCGGCAATCCGCTAATCGACCATCATCAACCAGAACCCCGTCACTCAAAATCACCACCATCAATCCGTAATCAGCCCTATTGCCGCCACATGTCATCGCCAACGTGGTGTCTGCCGTGACAATCCACCAGCATCGTCGCCGTTGCCGCTGTTCGGCCATCACCAACCCCGGTCAGTCGAAATTGGCAATAATAGGTTCAACCGGTTTGGTTAAGTATTGGTTATTAATCAACGGTCCTTATTAAATAAAAGAAATCCAACGATTAGAAAACGGCCGACACTAATACTGTGACTGTACCACAGAATCTGCCGATAATTTAATATATGGATAATTTGTATTGAGAGATTAATATTTGATTTTTATTTTAATAGAAACTTGTTATTGTAAATTTTTTACGACAAAAGTTTATAACTATTCATAGGGGTGGACACAGGGGGCTTTATTTTGGGGAAACGATTATTCAACCCCCGGTGGTAATTTACATATGGTCAAAAAAATTATAATTGATAGCGAAGGACACCCCTGAAATTGAAAAAATGATGATTCTACTGTCATTTTTTAAATTTGTGTATGAGAATATAAGTGGTAGGTTAGGTAATTCAAACCTAGAACACTATTATTATTAATAAACTTAATTTTCATTAAACTACAACTCATTTGTTGTTCGATTTTGAACACTGTGTAATAGTAAAAATGACATTTCCTATCTCTAATTATTTTAAAAACCTAACAATTAAACTAATTTCAAGCTACCCTTAATTTGTATTGATTTTATGGTTGTAAGGTAAGTATTGAAAGGGTCTTTCAGCTTTGGGTTACATCAAGAGCAAGTTTTACAAATCGAATATGCGATAAATTCGTGAATGATTGTCTAGTAGGATATTTAGAGACAATGTTTTTTAACACTGTAGACATCAAGTGTATTCTACAATTATTTTCGAATATGAAAACACATCATGGACTTTTCTAACCTGTACGAGTAATGTATTTTCTTATTTACAATTTTGTTTTTATTTATTTTTTGTTTATTTTTTAAAATGGGACCCCCTATGAAAATTTTCTGGGTCCGCCGCTGGGTACCCATGAACCCACGGATACCCAACGGGTTGAGTTGGGTTTGAGTTTTCCAAACCCAGTGGGTTTTACCCTGGGGTTTTTTCACGGATAAAACCATGGGTTTGGGTTTGTATTTGGCAAAACCCAACCAACCCGACTCATTGTCATCCCTAGCTACTGTTGCGCCGCACTTCAGACAGAGTATACGACCACAGTGGTCCTTCTTTCGTCTAAAAGACCTATGGAGAACAAGCATGCGAATCAGATCCACTCTTTTCAATCTTTGATGGCTCGCGACTGGGATGTTATCGTTTCTCATGTTTATAGGGAAGCCAACTTTCGTGCGGATTATTTAGCTCACAAGGGGCATACTATGTCTTTTGGAATTCATTTTTGTTAGCTTGCTTGATTTAGATGTACAACATGGGTCCCTATCCCTCGTCTAATTAATAATTATTTTTGAATGATTGTATTATAAATTGGCGCATTATTTAAATGATACATTACAACATTTGGTGTTTGTGTTTGTAGTTTAGAGAATGAACTAATAAAGTTATTTTTTTTAGGCTAAACACATATATACTCTTTAGTTTATGAGAATATGTGAAAGATACTAAGGATAAAAATGGAAGTAAATTTTGATCATAACCTCAAAACTATAACAATATCAAATTTGTGTTGGGATTGTAAACCATTTAAAATTAAGTATGTAAAATGTCAAATCAAGTTTCATTTTGACAAAAAAAACTAGGTATGTATTGTCTACACACATTTTAGAATCACAAACACCAAATTTGGCCTATGTTTAGCTCCTATTTTCTCACTTATTCTAAAACAATAGATGTAGTTATATTTAAAAGGCAAATCGAATGATATTAATAAATACCCGTGGTTTAGTACTAGAATAGAGAGTGTAACAAAGTGGCAGATTATCTAGCTAATAAGGGTCATTGCCTTGGTATAGGGACCCATGAGATTAGTCTTTGATGTTATGGCATTGTCCAGACTCGCTCTATTTAAGTGTCAGGCAGGAGTGCCCTTTTAGCGTCCCATTTTCCAAAAAAAAAAAAAATTAGTGCCCTGCCACGGTACAAACCCGGGCTTGATTCTCGGCTGGTGCATTTTTAAAAAATTTTCATCTATAACTCAAGTTACCTTTTTGCTTCTTTTTTTCTTCTATCGGTCGTCGCTTCTTTGGTGTGAAACCGAGCCAAGAATGCAAAGGTAATTTGCTTTTGTTCTTATGCTCTCTCCCCCAATCAATCCATCATCATCATCATCAGCAGTGACGTCTACGACTGTTCTCTGTTCCTCACAAATAAAATAGTCAAAACTCTCTCCTCACACCACTTCAACTCCGATTCGATTTCCCTTGTTTGTATTGTATGTAAACCCCAAATCGAATTTCTCCAATTCAGTTGACCATAAAACAATAAACAACGCCCAAAATTGTCCTCCAAGAATCGTCCTCCTGTCCTGTGTATCTTTCACTATATATACGCGCCATTTCCTGACCTGTTTTCATCCCACAATTCAAACCTCAACAAAGATCCTACACTGATACACAACACACATATAGGAACAGAGTCCCCCCCCCTGTCTTCTGAAAGTCCTCTGCCTTCCTTCATTTTCTTCTCACTAGCAATGGCCAACAGCAACAACCATAGCGATGTCAGGCTCATCGGCGCCTGGGCGAGTCCGTTCGTGATGCGCCCCAGGATCGCCCTCAACATCAAATCCGTCGAGTACGAGTTCATCGAGGAGCAATTCGGTTCCAAGAGCGATCTCCTGCTCAAATCCAACCCCGTCCACAAGAAAATCCCCATCCTTCTGCACAGCGACAAACCCATCTGCGAATCCAACATCATCGTCGAGTACATTGACGAGGTCTGGTCCTCCGGACCTTCCATCCTCCCCGCCGACGCCCACGACCGCGCCGTCGCGCGCTTCTGGGCTGCCTACATCGACGAAAAGGTACAATCTTTTTACCCACCCTTTTCAAAATTGGCCCACCGCGTTGTTATTTAATTGGAAATTGGAACCTTATCTTCTTGATGAAATTTTTTGCAGTGGTTTCCGAACTTGAAGGGGGTGATAACTGCAGCAAACGAGGAGGAGAAGAACGCGGCTGTGGATCAGCTGAGGGAAGTTGTACTACAGATGGAAGGAGCATATGGAGAGGTGAGCAGAGGGGAGGATTTCTTCGGCGGGGAGAAGATTGGGTTTGTGGACATTGCATTTGGGAGCATGTTGGGATGGGCGAGAGCCATTCAAGTGATGGCTGGAGTGAAGCTTCTTGACGAGGAGAAGACGCCTGGTTTGGTGAAATGGGCTGAGAAATTCTCTGCCGATCCGGCTGTTAAGGATGTCCTTCCTGAAGCTGAGAAGCTCGTCGAGTTTTCCAAGCTCCTCAGTGCCAAATTCAAAACTGCAGCAGCCTCCTCTTAGAACATAGAGCGATATTTGGGCGATTGTTGTATTCTGGGTCTGGTTTTTTTTTTCAGCGTTATGTTTGTAGTTTCATGTGGAGTGAATAGCTATCTTTTTTTATGTTTTACTCTGTTTTGGTCACTGAACAGAGTAATTACAGCATTTGTTTCTTTAACTGTCTATGCACTTTGTGGTATTGGTTGGTGATACGTATGAATTAATTATTTTGAAATTATAGAGAGATGCAAACCATAAAGATCAAACAGATCAAATCGTTGCTTAAAGATCACCTCACGAGTGTCACTGTCTTTCCAGTTTCCACGTTATATGGAATTAAGGTGCACTGCAACCACAAACTGTCGAGAAAAAAAAAAATCCCCACAACTTGAATAGTCAACCGAAGACCAAAATCTTTTCATTATTTTGAAAATTTCTACATTTTTTAAGTTTTGAAAAGTTCGACAACAAGTTGTCAGGTGAAATTCAAGTTAAACTACTGTATTAATCCATTGTTGCTTCCGAACTAAATTTAGACTTCGTGCAAAATTTTAACTGATTTGAGCGGTTAATTCGAGTTTAATAATTAATTCTAATTCTAATTGTCTTACAAAAGGAGAATAATTTAAAATCACAAGCATTATATTATTGGTGCAAATAATGCACATTGAATTACAGTATTGAATGTATGGAAGTGATACCGAATTCTTGACATTGATAATATAACTACCAAAAAACAACAATATTTTTGAACATAGAAGATTTGAGTGAATATGGGGCACATGTGTCATTAAGAGAGGGGTAAATATGAAAGGTTGAGTGATGTTGGTTTGCCGAATGCAGATTGAAAATGCGCAACTAATGTAAACGGGTTTAAATGGTGTCCCGACCTACTAAACGCTCAACCATCGCCGTCTCTCCAAACCTTCCCACCGGACTCGACAACTGCCTAACCTCCTCCACCTATATTGTTACGCAAAGCAATTTTTGAAGGGGTAAATATGGAAAGGTTGAGTGTTCTTGCTTGGAGAGCTGACTTGTGGGTTATGTAGTTTCTTTGACAGTAATGTGGGTTCTCTTAACATCAGTTCATTTGGTTGATTTTTTTTTTTATAATGATGAAAATAGTATTAACAGAGAAGAAAAAAGAAGAAGATTACAGCAAATCAGGTGATTCATAATTGACTTTTGAGTTTATTAAAGATAAACAGTGTCCCGGCTCTCGGCCTACTAAACGCTCAACCATCGGCGTCTCTCCAAAACTTCTCATCGGACTCGACAACCGCCTAACTTCCTTCACCTATATTGTTACACAAAGCAATTTTCGGAGGGGTAAATATGGAAAGGTTGATTGTTCATGCTTGGAGAGTTTATTGATGGGTTATTTAGTTTCTTTGACAGTAATGTGTGATCTCTTAACATCAGTTCATTTGGTTGATCTTCTAGGTTGACTTTTGAGTTGATTAACGAGAAATATCTATACTTTTTGTTGCTTTTGTTATGATACTTCTTTTCAATATCATCATTTTTATGATTTGAAATGTTTCTGATTTAAAATATCCACATGGAATATATTGACGGGATCTTTGCTTGTCAAAACCGCGTGCCAAGTAAGCTCCCTCCTTAATCCTTATATTTTTGTTAATCTGCACATGCACACCCTCATAGGAAACATGTACAGAATTGTAATTTAGGTGCTTCATTAGTGTTGTTTTCATAATATTGTATTATTTGAGGTGGTTGTTCTAGAATTGTGAATTGTGAATCGTGATTGTATCTCCTCTAAGAAATTGTCAAGTTAAACTATAAAAGAGGCTAACTTGAGCTTCCTCTTTAATTTAGCTGGTATGAGAACAATAACCCACGACAAATTGATTGGGGGTTGACAATGCCTGAGAAACGGTTTAGCCTTCTTCAGAGTATCACAAGATCCTGATAGTATCTCAACAAAAGCAATTTTTGTTTTCATGCCTGATGTTGATACAAGTTGTTTACCTAGAGGAGAGCCCCAACAAGTTAGCTCTTGGAGTAGCGATGCGAAAATGGGAAGACAAAAATGGTTTATACAAAAGGCCATACTATGATCATATAGAATGCGTTGGTAGAGATAGTCATCAATCTCAGTTTATTAATGAAGCCATCAAGGATAAGAGAGGAATCACTATTGACACTCTAAATTTTACAATGCTATTAAAATGATCATTCCTTTCATTTCATGTAAATTTGTATTATGACTGAAACTTATATATTTATCTTATCTAAATAATTTTATAAATTATTTGACTTAAACTAATAAACTAGTTTAATATAATATCGATAAACTGAGAAAGGGAAAAAGAAACGAGTCCAGCTCGATGGTAACAATCTCTGTATTTTATTCTTTGAACTTACAAGGAAGAGTAGAGGGAGGGAGCAGGGTAATTAGTAATTACAAAACTGGGAAGGAGCAAATGAATAGAGAAATGACAAGAGGAATGAAACGCGTAATCAAACCAATGCTCTGACCAAAAGCAGAATTGGGGGCTGCCGGAGGGTTCCGGTAATAGAACGGGAAGTAGGGAAGTATTGGATTAGGCGGAGGTGGACACTCCGCACCCGGGTAATTACCGTTCCCATACCCACCACCACCGCCGCCGCCGGCGACTGGGGCCGGAGGCGGCGGAGAAGGATAGACATACGTGGGCACGGTACCCGAAAAGGAAGAAGACGGAGGCGGGGGGCAGTCGTTGGATGGGATTGCCGGTGGCGGTAGAGACGGAGGCGGCGGCGGAGGGGATGGCGGCGGAGGCGACGGTTGGGGTTGACATGGGTTCTCGCATTCAGAGCACATTGAGCACGAAATTTGAGCTCTAGAAACGCCCACTGATGAAGTTAGTGCTGTGATCAGAAGAGCGAGGATGAGAATCCCGGTGGCGTCTCTCACCGCCATGAATTTGAGAGGCAGGCCGGCCATGGAAGCGTCAAAATCAGGAGAATTGAGGTTCAGTGGGGATCATTTTAGTTCTCCAGCTCTGGATTAATAAAGGAGCCGGCCGGGGGAGCCATGGCAGATGGGAATGAATGCCCCATGTGTATCGGCAATTGCAACCATGTGATCTCCTTTCTGTTTTATCATCTTCTACGCCACCCTCGTTCACCTTTTTTCCGACGGGGGGAGGAGCAGCTGCAACTGGGTTTTAGTACTCTATGTTGGTGACTTAATACAGGGGGAAAATCAGTGCAGAGAAGTGTAGTGTAGCCTTAGAACATGGTACAAATGAATGCTTATTAACATATTAGTACTTTGTATTTAGAAAAATACAAATCTTAATAAAATAAGAGGTGAACATCCCGTACGGAGCACATGCTTTCGATTTAGTATATTATAGGAAACTAGTGGTTTGCCTGCAGGTTGGCCGGATTAGGTATTTCATATGGCCAAAAGTTGGCGTTTTAATTTAAAAGGTTTGAGTTAAGGTACAAAACCATTTATGTTTTCAGTATTACAATATCATATTGGATGACTGAGATTGAGAGAGAACTAATCTAGTGACCATCTTTATAGAGGGTAAGGAGGAAAGTAGGGGTTTGAGGAGAGAGCTTACCATATTTTTGGTGCTGCTGGCATGATTTTTAGGATTGGCGCGAATTTTCAAGTGTGTTGTTAAATCACTTTTCAAATCTCATACGAAAACTCAACGGATATATAGCTAATTCATTTTACATTAAATTCAAAAAATTTGCATAGAAATATGAAATATAAGTTTTTTAGTATTCTACAAGTCGATATCCATTTTTTATATTTTTAACAATATTCTAGGTCATCTTACCACTGTCATATTACAATATTAGTATATTACCACTGATAGTAGTATGATGTTGATATGATAGTGACATGCTGGTGATATATGATAGTGATATGATGCTATGAGGTCTGACATTTGACAATAATTTAATGACCTCATATCACTATATCATAGTGATCATATCATGATATGATAGTAATATGATGTTGGTATGAAGTCTTATGTTTGAGAACATAATGTGATGATATGATAGTGGTAAGATCATGATATGATATTGATAATACTAACATGTGTTTTGAAGAGCTAAATTTTCTTTGCTCAAAATATAGCAAAACGTATATCATTGTGGATACATTAATTAATATATTGTTTTTGTGAAAAAACTTAAAATTTTGAGTTAAAACAAAGGAGATACATGTGAATATAGAACATTCATACTCGTTATTGATTGAATGATGGAATATATATATATATTATAATCACATGAGTTTACCGTGGCATGAGTATCGGAATAGAAGAACAGACTGGGCTATATACATGGCAACAGAAAGTGAATTACAGAAGTGGAAAATGTGTAGCCATTGAATTTGTTACTCATCACACCCCTCCTAGTGAAGCCTCAAAGAAGTGAAAATTGATCAGAACTTGTGGAAGGGAACTCGAGTGAGGGGCTTTGTAAGAACATCGACTAATTGATGATCCGAGGCAGGAAGATAATGGACCCAATCACGAACGAAATGAAATTCGATTTCCATGTGCTTCGACCGTGATTGAAAAATGGGATTATGGGTGAGATATACTGCCCCCAGATTGTCGCACCATAGAACTGGAGAGTCGAGAAGTGGATGACCCAGTTCAGTGAGTAATGATTGCAACCATATCACTTTGGATGCGAGAGTGGCGAGTGCTCGATATTCCGATTGAGTTGATGAAGAGCTACCGATTTATGTTTGCATGAGACTAGGTTTGTCCCAAAAAAAAATGCAAAGCCAGTGATAAACTTGTGGTCCGAGGGACAGGAGGCCCAAGAATCATCCGATTAACTATAGATGTGGAAAGAAGGTAAACGAGACAACTATAGACCATGATCTAGTGAGCCTTGTCGATAGCGGAGAATCCGCATGAAAGCCGACCAATGAACATCAGTGGGAGCATGTTAATATTGAGAGACATGGTTCGCGGCAAGCGAGAGATTAGGCTTGGTGAAGCTAAGGTATTGGAGACCTCATTCAAAGGTGCGATAGAGTTATGGATCAACAAATAATGGAAAGGAATTAAAGGTGCTTTGCTGAATAGATCCCGAGTGCAGTGAGTTGAAATGGGCTTCGTTTCAGCCATTTTGGGACGGTGTAAGAGGTCGAGAATGATCTTGCACTGATGCAGGAGTATGCATGTGGCTGTACGCACTTGACCTTAAT